CATCTTCCTCCTCTTCTTTCTCCCCCACCCCACAACCCCCCTATTTTTGTCGAATATTTGTCGAACGTGACAAACGAAAGATATCGAGAGATATTATCGTATTATTTTCGTCGAGTGGTAGGATACACGCCCCACCCAATCCGTGCATTCGTCTTGTCGAGAATAATAATGCATTTTAAAAGGAAAACACATTATCGTATAAATAAAATTCGGGGGTTTAGGAGGAAGGGGTAGGGGGTGGAGAGAACTAGAGAGGATAAAGAGAATCCTCTTAGTATAAACAAAAGAAAAAAAACAAATATCCAAATATCGTCGAAACTTTTCGAAGATTCGAAATCATTCGTGGAAGGGTGGTGGGTGGGTGCATGCATGCATATTTATCGAACGTGACGACTAAGTACGATTAATTGAATAATAATAATAATAATAAACTAATGCAAAAATAATCTAAAAAAAGAAGAAAAAGAGGATTGGAGAGAGAGAGAGAGAGAGAGAGAGAATGGGGGGTTAAGATAAATGTATTTAAAATATATATTGGGAAAAAAAATGATGTTTGTCTAAAGAAATATATTATATAACGTAAGAATAAAAAATGATTCGATGATTTTCGTACGACAATGTGGATAATTTTGTGTCGATTTCTTTTGACGAGGAATGAGAACGCGACTGAATAAAGAAAGATGAAGAGAAAGATGGAAAGAAAAAAAAAAAAAAAAAGGGAAAGAAGCAAAAGGGCCAGGAAAAGTTCTGGAATCATGCCGTGGGAAGCGTGTGTGTGCGGGGCTTCTCTCTCTCTCTCTCTCTCTCTCAACAATTGTTGTTCGCCTCTTAGTAAAGTGAATGCGTGTGTGCGTGAAGGGTATACACCTAAGGGGGACGAAAGAGGGTGGAGGAAGAGTAGCATGTCATGCCAACCCCAAAAACCTCGAAACCCCCGGGACAGTGCCTGCCTGCCTGCCTGCCTGCCTGCCGTCTCATCCGAGTACACTTACGGGAAACGCAATTTAGTCACGTAATGCTCCTGCTAGGCTCAAGAGAACTTCACCGTGTTACTTCTTTCATATTTTTCTCTCTTTCTCTCTATCTCTCTTTCTCTTATTTCTTTACGAATAATAAGAGAGTGTTGTCTCTCCACACCTTCTTCTTCTTCTTTTATTTCTACTTTTATTTCTTCTACTTGACGTTTCTTTATAATCAACATAGGTGTGTTGATATATTATATAATAATATTTAAATGTGAAATAAATTAGAAAGGACAATATTTATATTGACTTTGTTGAGTAATAAAATAAAAGTATGCAAATGTAATTGCAATAAATTAAAGTAGATCTGTTAAAGTACTATGAATCTTTTTTACTATTACTAATACAACTCATTTCAAAGAGAGAGAGAGAGAGAGAGAGAGAGAGAAAGGTCTAATTATTGCAAAGAAAATTATTGCATTCTTTTCTATCTCATTCACATACAAACATTAGAATAATTATTATTGTACAATAAGAAGAGATGTATGAAAAAATAATATGACTAACTTCAAAGAATATACTAAGTTTACATCTAATGCTCGTAACAATTTTGTCTTCGTTCTTCTTCTATTCTCTCTCTTTCCTTTTATTTGAAAAACTTGCACCCTTCTCAGAAATAGTTCGCCATAGCTCAATTACCAGAGGACACTTAGCTATTTTTACGCACTTATATGCGCGTACACTGGCGCCAAAGACAATCCATCTATTCGGCTTCGGTTAAAATTGGAACGTGAAACGTTACTTTGAACGTTCGTGAGTCAACGAGAAAGAGAGAGAAAGAGAGAGAGAGAGAGAGAGAGTACGTCTCTTCTACTTCTGTGTCTGTCTGTCTGTCTGTCTGTCTGTCTGTCTGTCTGATTGTCTGACTGTCGCCTTCCATTTCTCTTTTTTTCAAACAATTACAATCTCAAGGAAACCCTTTATAATATTTCGCAAGGAAAACTAGTTAGAAACGAATGATTATTTGATTATAATAATTATCATCACGACCCTCTTCTCGTTGTAAGATGATAATTATTATTTCTATCTGAACGGGGATTATATTTTAATCGTCGTTTCAATCAAATTCCTATCGAAGAATTTTCCATTTACGAATATAGTTCGCGTTGAATATTTTAAGATAATACGTAAGAAATATTTTGTTGTTCTTTGAATTATATTATTAAACGCGTTTCTCGACAAAAATTGCATTCAACCGAGACGAGTGTCATTAACACGCCATGTGGAGTTAAAATGGTGCACGATGCTATGAGGTTTGATGTATCTGCGAAATTTTGCATTACTGCGTTACTGTATTTGATTTTTGTATTTCTATTTAATATTTGTTTGATAATAATTAAAAGACATATAAATGATCGTTGTTGCAATTCTATTTTGAGAAAAATATCGTTAATCAATTGAAAGGAATTTTAAACGTATACCGGAAACGATACACGTGACAAGGAACATGTTAAAAATAGAAACAAATTTATCGAACAACTGTTTTGGAATATAATTAACGAATATATTGATTTTTGAACAAATTCGGAATAATACCATGCGTATGTAGTATGTGAACAAGAAACGAAGGAGATCTAGAGGGGTGAAAAAGACAGGGTGGGAGGGAAGGGATGATAACGGAGACTGACTCACCCTTCGAGTAAGAAGAGAATTACTGCCTACGAATTGTTCCTTCTTCCGATCACGAAAACTATACTTATTACTTTTACCGAATAACTACGTTAATATCCCTTTTTTATCTCTCATTCCTTTTTCTTTCTTGATAACTTTTAATATCTAACGTTTGTTTCTCTCTCTCTCTCTCTCTCTCTCTCTCTCTCTCTCTGTAATTTAATTTATTCCGATAAAACGGGGCCATCAATAAATTTCATCTCGACGTACGATATTCCCCCGAGCTGATGTAATTCCTGCGAATGATGTAATCCAAAAAATATAATATTAAAACAAAATGATTATAAAGCGTCCGAATATTTTACACTATATTTCTTCTTTTCATTTAAGAAAATAAAAAAAAGAGACATCAAATTCGAGTTCGTTATTTCTATACTTTTTCTTTAATTTCTACGGTGAGAAGGTAAATCCTATAAAAAAAAAAACAAAAAGTGTGTTAACGCGTGATACCACGGTAGAAAACTATTCTAATTAAGATTTCAATCAAGATGGAATGTCTGGGTCTGTGAGACACAAACATCTGAATAAATTTATATTTAAGAATTGTGTCACAGACAGACAGACAGACAGACAGATCGCCATAGTTGCGAGATCAATCCTTCGATGGATACTATTCAATCCGTCGCGTGGCACGACTCTATCATAATTCTTATTTGACGAGAGTAAAAGTGATAATGAAAATAAAAGTGAATTCGAGAGCGAGAGTTAAGAATGAGAATGAGAATGAGAATGAGAATGATGAGAGATGAGTAGAGTAAGAAGATATACCAAAGAAAAAGTACAAAATAATAATAATAATAATAGTAAGAATAAGAATAAGAATAATAATAAGAAGAAAGAGATTTAGCATGCAAAAAAATATACTCTTGGCACTGGGCTTCGGCAAACGACGAGATAAATAGCCTTGCGTGGGTGCGGCTCGACCGTGTCTACGGGCCACACGCCACGTTTCGACCGGATCCGTGAGTTACGGGGACCGCACGGCTAAGGAAGCTTAAGAAGAAGAAGAAGAAGAAGAAGAAGAAGATGAAGAATAAGAATAAGAAGAAGAAAATGAGATCTCACTCGAGACTTAACTGCAACGACGACGTTTTAATGGCACATCGACTTGAGTGACCCTCAACTATCCCTTTCACCTCTCCCTTTGCCGCCTTATACTAAATCAGACTAAATTATTTTCCAATTTCCTTTGATCTATTTCTATTTCTCATTATTATTCCATCGAAATTTAACTATATACAAAACAAACAAATCCCCTATCTCGATATAATACATTAAATTATTATTAATTACGAAATTTGTCAACCCTAAAGATTTATGTTGTCTCTTTTTTTTATTATTATTATTATTTTTTTTTTCCATTCTATTTTCACCACCTTCTTATTCTTTTTTTTTTTTTTTTTTTTTTTTTTTGATTTTTCTCTTATCCATCTGTCCTATCTTTCCCGTGCTTTATCATTCGATAAAAGATCCATCATCCCGATCCGATTTCGGTCCATTACTTTCGCGAACGAGATGAGTACTTACAGATTCGCGGTCGTAGTTTTCGACCTTGGTGACGAGAGAGAAAAAAAGAGAGAAAGAAAAATTCAAGCATAGAGAGAGAGAGAAAGAGAGAGAGAGAGAGAGAGAGAGTGAGTAGGGGAGAAAAAGAGAAAAAAAGATAGAAACGAAGCCACGTAATACAGCCTCCTATTCTTCTCTTCGTCCTTCGTCATTTGATTTTGACGCAATGCGTCAGGTCTCCCCGCTGCACAACGTTTTCACACTTTCATGACCTTGCCAGGAGAAGATCCTTCACGATATCAAACCACGCTCTTCGTAAGTATACCTCTCAAAGAAATGATCTTAACGACCTACTAGATGAAAAAGTTCTTTAGACTCTAACTCTCTCTCTTTTTCTCTCTTTCTTATTCACTTGGAGAGATGAATTTCAAGTATCGTCGGATGACGAGATCGAGTGATCAAACTCTATGCTATTTTTTGTCTTAATCCGTTCATCGTAAGCCCTCGAGGAGGACCACCATCGAAGAAACAGATAGTTAAAGTGGAATAAATATCGTTGAGGAATCCTTCTCTCTCTCTCTCTTCCTGTTCCTCTTTATTTTTCGCAATGGTTTCGAGGATACACACGTGTCCTCCTCGAGTGGACACGTTGCAGGCGCCAATAAAGTGGCATTACATATGATTCTGTTTAAGAAACGTCAAAGAAATACGTGAGCATATGTATATACTTATAAAGTTAGAATTAGATAGATAGATAGATAGAGAAAGAGATAGAAAGATAGATAGAAAGAGCGTACTTACCCGGGGAAACGGCGAGGGCGAGGAAGGCAGCGGCGGTGGCGACGAGGAATATCCTGACGGCATGTCCACCGTCGCGTCGTCTTCTGCCCGGTCTCCTCGCAGCGTGACAGCAGGAGGCAGCAGCTGGTCTTTTGGGTGAACGAAGTAAAAGGACATAAGCCGGCTCGTCCTCCGTCCTGTTCGATTCTTCTGTAGCCGCCGGTTGAAGTAGTCGATGACGATGCCGATGATATTGATGATGATGATGACGATGACGAGGATGATGCGGTTGCTCTTCTTGTTGCTGTTGCTGTTGTTGTTGTTGTTGTTGTTTTGGATGATGGGGATGAGGGGAATGATGGGGGTGATGGTAATGGTGGTCTAGTTGCCGGTGGTGGTGGTCGCTGGCACTGCAGCTGCTGCCGGTAGGGTCGATTACCGGAGCGTAATACATGGCCTGCAGGAGCGACGACGACTGCCGTGCCACCGTGGGCTGCCCTCGTCAGCGTATCCGCGTCGTCGGTGAGGGCGAGCGCGACTCGAGCGCACCTGCGACGACGACACCCTGCGACGACCTGGAGGAGGACTCGCCGATGCGAGGCATCACCACAAACACTCGCAACCTTTCCTCGGCCCGATACCACCCTTATCCTTACCCCTGCGACCAATCTCTCGCCTATTTCCGCCACTCCTCTCCTACTCCTCCTCCTCCACCTCCTCGACGAGACGACACCGCTTCGCTCGCGACACTTCACCATGCACCGTCACTTCGACCGATGGACCCTCCTTCCCTTCCCTTCCCTACCCTTCCCTGCCCGTCCCGTCCCGTACCTTCCCTTTCCTTCCTCCGCTACTTGCTGCGGATGACAAGGACGACGACCCTGCGATCGCCCTCCGCGCCACCTCCTCCTACCTCGCCGGTAGAATAGCCCGCGCGAGAACAACCGTCGACGGCACTCCCGAGAGGAGGGAAGAAACCCTCCAAAAACGTAATATCGCGCGCGCAGTTAAAACCTCAGCCACCGTACACAATGATAATAGATGAGAATGTGCATCGATACGCGTGTCTAATACGTCGTCTAATGGGAACTATCAAAACTTACTACTACTCGCTGCTGCCTTTTCCTTTGATTCAACCCCTCTTCTTTCAACTACTACTACTACTACCTCTTTCTCTCTCTCTCTCTCTATCTATCTCTATCTATCTCTTTTCCCTATTTCCTACCACTGGATATCTTCTATTCTACTGACAATCTCGTCTCTCTCTTTCTCTTTCTCTCTTTCTTTCTCTTTACTCGTGGAGCAAACGCACGTCCTAGAAAACCACCCGGACACCAGCACCGTCCGCAAGGAAGTGCCGACGACCACGAGGTGGACGTCTCTGCGAGGCTCTACTGCCAAGAGCGGTGGTTATAGAGGCGGTGGTAGAGGCGGTAGTGGCGCCGGTGGCGACTGAGACTCGCGACGGCGGTGCTGCCAGTGGCTACGATTGCTGATCGTGCTGCTGCTGCTGCTGCTGCTGCCGGTGATAGTGGTGCTGGTGGTGGTAGTGCTAGCGGTGCTTGCTGGTGGTGGTGGTGGTGGTGGTGGTGGTGGTGGTGGTGGTGGTAGTACTAATGGTGGTGGTGGTGCACCGGCGCATCGAGTACCTCTGATACACGGTATTGCCTACTGTCCAATCAGTTCCGTGTCCTTTACACTCGATAAACTATCCAAAAGTACTTTATTTCTATCTCTTTTCGTATTTCCTAGTACTCAACGACCCACTCTATCTCTCTCTCTCTCTCTTTTTTTTTCTTTTTATTATCCGTCACGACGAGGTCTCTCGTTCGTCTGCTAGTCGCGACTCTCTCGCTCCACCGACTGGGGGTAACGCGCTTTTGCCCGCTGGCGTTATACGCGCCGACGACGACGACGACGACGATGACGACGGGCGACGGCAGCGTCGCCGGTCAACGTCGACGTCGTACGCCCCCGGCGCGACAGCTATTCCTCTTCTTCGTTTTCATTTTCGTCTTCTTATTCTTATTCTTTTCCGTCAAGAACACGCGTTCCTTTCCTACCTTCTATCCGACCCTACACGCACCAGACTACAGTCACCCTAGTCTATTCTAAATCTATGACACAAATAAAGAAGAAAATGTTTAAAAATAATATTGTAAATAACTTGGGGAAAATTCGTGGGATTTAATTTGGCTCGTGCCAGAATGTTTTCCGGCTATTCCTCCTACTCTATCGCCTTGAAAATGATGCGATCACTGCGGAAATCTCGATCGACCTACGCGACCTACAAAAACTTCGATCAGGTTCTTCTTCTTCTTCTTCCTCCTCCTCCTCCTTTTTTTCGTCCCTTTTTGCCAATCCCGACGCAACCCCATTTTTTTTTTATTTTTCCTGTAAATCCAACCACTTTATCGAATTTTATATATTCTATAATCCTAGTAGTAGTAGTAGTAGTAGTAGTATATATAGGTGCTTGTAATTTCGACCAAGAAGTGTCCTCGATTCTTAACACATCGGTTTGGTTGTTGCGTCAGGAGGTAAGCAGTCAGCCCCGTCGTGACTGGGGGTTTCGAGAGCACCTGGAGGACACTGGACTGACTGAGCTACCTCGCCAGGTGGTTGCAACTTGTTGTGGCTTGTCTACTCCCCTCCTAACTAAACATCCCACTACTTTTCTCAACTTTATTATTTTTCTTTTTAACAATAAGAAACCTCACATGAAAGTATCTTCTTCGCGCGCGAATATAATTTTAATTCAATAATTCTAATATAACTCTAATATAAATTATACTTAATCAATGTTATTAAAAATTACGATCAAAATTTCATTATTTTCGATATCTCAATTCGTCAATTCAGATTTTAAACACCGATGGTCATCCTGTATTAATCTTAGGGAATGAAAATATATTGTAAAATATGGCATCTGTCTTTATGGGTCATTTACGATGCCCGTTGCGAAGTGATACCATAGACCCTAAAGTATAAACTTGAAAGGAATACATACATGGTGGTTCGTCTTATTCCAAAAAAATAAGAGGGGAGTCCTTTTTGGCCCCAGGACAATCCCCCCTACTCTTTCTTGTCGTGGCACGCGCTAGCTACTATTACGAACATGCCCTTTTTCTTTTTTCTCTTTCTCCTTCCCTTTCTCCCTCCCTCCCTCCCCCTCACTCTCTACCTCCCTCACCCTATCTTTCTCTTTCTCCTTTATATCCCACCTCTTTTGTGAACCAGATCTACAGGATAAGAATTTCTTAGTCGGATGACCGGCTCGCGTGCGCCTTTACCTTTGCCACAACAAAATTTATTCCATCGGCCGTTCGTTTCCCTCAACGTTTGCTATTACAAACGTTAAGGTTCTCTTTATTGCAATTTTAATAATCCGATTAAACGTTAGATGGATGAAAAATATCTAACCCAATAGAGTGCAAAAGAATCGAGAGAATACGTTTACTTTTTCTTTTTAATCTTACCGACACGCGATAGTTTATTTCAGAAAATTCATTCTCAAAGGAAAGAAAATTATGTAATCCAAAATCAGATTATTGTTATTTTTAAAAACTAATAACAAAATATACGGACATAATATTATTATCATAATATTTCCTATGAAAATACTTACTTATTAAACAAAAATTGTTTTGACATTTTTTTTTCAATGAAATCTAATATTCCATTAAATTAAACAATTACTCGTCACACACGCGAGTAATACTAAAGAACAAAATAATTAATCCTACACGGAAGTAACAAAATAAATTCTATTTAAAATGCAACGATTATATTATTGTTACGTAGTACGAGAAATATATTCCGGGCATAAAATCGGTCACGTAATTCTTTCGAGCGTATAATCTTAAGAAATAAAAAAAAGTTCTATATTTAAAAAGAGCAATAATTTTTTTCGACACACGGATATGCATATCTCTCGCGAATGGGGGTAAAAAAATTAAAAGAAAAAAAAAAAGAAAAGAAATAAAAAACCAAAGAAAGATTGAAATCGAACATAGAAATGAATCACGAGGTATCTCTCTTACTCCTAGTAAAAATATAGATAAAGATAGAAAGATAGAAAGATAGAGAAAAGAGAAGTAAAGTAAGAAAAGGGAAATGCAAACAATATCCGATCCATGCCATCGGATCGGCGATATCCTTTATAGGACGATTCCGCAATACTCGCCAGGAGGGTGCTTTGATAGCAACCCTCGGGGGTATTTAGAGATCCTCGGATAAATGGCGTCCCGTGGTGCGCATGCTGCGCACTACGAATCGTAGGTACGTACGTACCGTGTGCTCCTTCCTTCCTTACTTCTTAGTAATACGTCTATGTATTTGTATAAAACACATATCACATCTAAAGAGAAACTTTTTTTAAATAATACATATGAACAAACCTTTTTCATATTAGTCGATAACTTTCGATCGTAACTAATTTGATTTTTTTTTAACGAATAAATTATCCAACGTACGCGATCATTTCTCATATTACAATTTGATCTTACGTTTATTCGATCGAACATTTTTATAAACGAAATTGTTTCTTTTTTTTTTTTTT